CTCAAAAAATTTTCATTTATTGTTTAACTCTCTTCTTTTTTTTTAAAACAGAAATATTTTCTGCGTAATTTATTTGTTTGCTTTTCTTTTTTTACTTTATAGTCTTCTTTTTTTTGGTAATTTATTAACCGCGATACCGTTTGTTGTTCTTTTAGTTACCACTTGTTGAATAATGCGTCGCCGATTGTTAAGCACATTGACTTTTATAAAGATTTTGATCAGACAACCAGTAACCATTCGTTGGAAGGACATCGGCTTATAAATTCTCATAGATGCAAAAGAAAAAAAAAAAAAAAAAAAATGATAAGAGAGAAAAAGAAAGAAAGAGAGAAAGTGTGAAGCTTTTCCATTTCGTATTGATAGTAAAGCTCTTGCGTAGTAAAGCGCAAATTTCGTTTTAGTTTATATGACTTGATAGATTTTATCAATGAATAATATGAGGCTGGAGTAAGATGGTGCGGGGTAGGGTGCCAAAAAAACGAAAAAAAAACTCATAAAATATATATAATAAATTTAGCGTTTTTATTGTCCTAAACCTTGCTCTAGGTATTTCCAACATTTGTTGCTATTCGAAGGAAATTAAAAATGAAGGATAAATGTGGGAAATGGATGCATTATATGAAGAAGACTTTCTGGAAAAGTATTAATGCAGAAAAATAAAAAAAAAAAAAAAACAAGTAAGAAAGTTATATTCGGTCGTGATCGCATCTAAAAAGAAGAGAGAGAACTAAATTTTCAAACTCTATATCATTGGATGGACGTGGCTGATTTCTTCTTTTTCCAGAATAAAAATGAAAGTTGATGTGGTGTATATGTTGCACTTTATGAATAACAAGCAAAAAACTCTCAAAGCATGTGTTGCTAGTCTCTTTGCACGTGCAGTGTCCTTTCACCGGTGTAAGTCATTTAATTTGTGAAATAATTTATATAAAAATCTTCCTATTATACTATCACATAAAGGTTGCATTTAGGTTGCGGCTAAGTTTATTATAATAATAATGATTATAATAATTGCATTTATTATTAGTTTAAAAACAAGTCAAAAGACTATAGGGGTCAAGCACTCCATATCACCCTCATATAACTATTACTCATATAACAATTTTCTAAAATAAAAAAAGTGATCGATCCGAACCATTTTCAACAGCGGTCATATAAGTTGAACAGAAGAAAAGAGGACAGACGGATTGATAGCCCAACTTAGACTGATTCCGAAAGTTATTCTGAATTCATCGGTATAATAAAAAATGAGTCTATCTCAAGTCCTCCAGGATTTTGTATGGATCCGCACAAACTTAATACACCCTTAAGAAAGATAAAAAGCGAATGAGTCAAATGGCGCACAATGAATGCAAAATCCAAGTGAAAAGAACAAAATTGCAACTCAAGTGGCATCATATGCTTAGGAATATGTGAATAAGGAACTTAAATACGAATCTAGTCCGAGAAGAACCTGAGCTGATGAAGAAAACGCAAAACTTGTTGGAAAAATGACTTTATTTTTCAGCAAAGTCGTTACTTCAGAGATTAGTTTAAATTAGATTCTAACTTGGCATCGATATTGATCGGAATCAGGGATCTTTCATATAAAAATACTCGATCCCAGAGTGATGAATTTTTTCAATGTTTCCAAAGTCTTAGTTGGCACTCAAGTAATTTCTCCCGTTAAAATTAAACTCTACAAGGCTGATGTTGCGATTGAACAGTAACAAGAATGTGATTGCGAATTGTGGAAATGAATTATCAGTTACACGATCAGTATCCTACAGAATGAGAAATGTAAAATACAACAGCTAGCAGTTTCGATGCTTTCAAATACCACAATAATAATTTTCTTATTCTATTCTGAACAGCCAGAAAGAAGTGAATAAGTAAGTCCCGGATTATTTTCTAATTTACATTCAATGAAACTGATCTCGTCTATTCGTAAGTCTTTCGGCTGTTCAGCGGCCAGCACTTTGGTATATTTATTTTTGTTTGCCTGCTTACTCGCTTGTCTGCTTGTTCTCTTGTCTTCTCGTTTGACGAGCTGTGCGCTTTTTCGGTTGCTTGCTGCCCACCTCTCGTCCGCCCGCTTGCCTTCCTGTTCACTTGTCGCTCAGTTCGCTTGACATCTTGTTAACATTCTTAAAGTGAGCTAGAAGGCTGCAAACTGACACTTGTAGTCTTACCATAAATTTGCGCATCAAATTTTATAAGGAAATTGATCTGGCCAACAATGCAAAAGCAGGGCGACTTATATGATTATTGATGAGAGCTACGGTAGATACAGGTTCCTAATCACACCCGCAATCACTAAAGTAAATCGAGATTTTTATAGATTTCTTCATGTCACTCAGTATCCGAATACCTTTTAATAAATGCAACAATATTTACAATGTTTTTTAAATCAGATATTTGCGGTTACACCATAAGCTGTTACTTTTTATAGATTTCCATAGTGGCATTGCTAAATTTTAAAACCATTAGTTTTTTCGCCATAGTGTTTTAAGTGCAAGTGTTTTTTTGCCATACATTAAGGATACATATTTTATTATTCAACTCGTGCAATGCCACAGAGAACTTAACTTGCCAGGAAACTAAATTGAACAATTCAGTTGTAACATGTAAGAATACGTGTCGCGGATGGCCTCATTAATACGTGCTTTTGATGAAGATAAGACTGAAGAATCGATTTAGTTATATCAATGTATGGGTTGTTGGAATACTCGAAGCAAGAAGAAAAATGGGAATAGGAAGTATACACTTTACATGTGGCTTTTAAGTCCTCAATGAATGGTGATAGAGAGCTCCAAACGTAAAGGTGCCTAAAATAGAAAAAGTTAAAAAAAAAAAAAATACAAAAACGAACGTTTCTGGAAAGTAACTTTGGGAAGAAATCACCGGAAAGCCTTTTGTAGGTTTTGATCTAAGTACAGCAAGGAGAGTCGTTGAATGGAAGCCATGTGGTCAGAGTGCTAACTTAAATTGTTTGTAGGGTATTGAGGATTTAATTTTATTCACTTCAATGCATTTGCCGCTAGGCAATGGAAATGAAACTGCTCTTGCTTATATTTCTTTTCATTTGTATGTGCGCATTTACACTGACGCACATACATATTGAATTTAAAAGTTAGATCATATATGGAGGCACAAAACGACGTTGAGTTTAGGTGACACACGCAGATAATTATCGATCTTTTAAGTTTAATATGTATGAGGTCGAGTCTACAAGGAATGAATTTCAAAAAACGTTAGATGACTTTTAATCGTTAACGAGACAATTTTTTTGTCTTTCTCCTCTTTTAGAATTGAGCATATCAAAAAGGAATGATTCACTGTGCTGTGCTTTGTGTTGACAGTTCCCAGAAAAAGGTTTGTCTAAAAAATCGAATAAAAGTTCAAATTTTTCAAAATCTAAACTATGATCCGATTGCAAGTCCATTTTTCTAATGCCTGTTCCTTATTGATAAAGTTTTGTGTATCTGCGCTGTCTTCCGTATATTTCGCTCATACCTTTCAGTTATAATAAACTTAAATATAAACACAGTTTTTGCTTGAATATATTGTTGTTGTAAATGCAATGGTAATTTCCGCTAATCAATATTTTATTATATCCTACACCCCAAGTGGTGTAGGGCATAGTAAGTTCTGTGCGGATTTATGTAATTTATTAATGCTACCCCATATAAGGATTCTCATGCCAATTAAGTCTTTATATAGCAATGTAACTTTTAATGTTTTGAGACGAAAATTTTGTAACCATTTTCTATGGCGTAAAAATGAACTGCAGCGAATTTGGATCACTTTGGTCATTGGAGTCCAAGTCCAAGTCAAGTACTCTGAGGACCCAAGCCGGGCGACTCGTTTTGGTCCTACATGTTGTGAGGACTAAATCGTATGCATATAGCGTAGATCAAGTAATGTTACGAGTTGTCATATTTTTGGTTATAAGCGTATCATAAGTAGTAAGCGAAGATTAAGTCTTGTTATGAATTGTTATATCCTTTCTTTTTATTTTTCATTGAACATTATAGGCACAGCGTCGCCCATTGCGTAGTTGAGATAATGATCGAAACGTGAGGGAACGGTGAAAGATCACATTCGAAATACGTCAACTATTTTACTTCGCTAACCGATTGGCGACGCCCCCTTAAAGTCGGACAGACGTGCAGAGGAAAAGATGAGACATCCTTTTGCTGCCTGATCGATCCGATCGTCCGGGCAACATCACGAAAGAAGCCTGTAAAGAAGCCTAGATGAACATAGTAGGAGCGTGTACGACTCAACTGGCTAGACGAAAACCTTGTTGAAAGGAAACAATGTTTAGTGCTCCATTGAACATAGCCATGTTTAATGTTCGATTGAAAGAAGTTTCGTTATATTTGAAATAATACTCTTGCTTAATGGATAATAGTCGTATAGAATTAAATGAGTTGTCACTGTTTACGCCAATAGTCGATTTCTCTGACGTTGAAAATCTGATCGTTGAAAGTAAGACCATTTTGGGTACTAAAGAGAATTTTGAATGCCAAAGAGCTGACAGTGAATATTTTTTATATATGTTATCAATAAAATCAATGAAGGACTGCTTTAAGCAAAGTAAGGTAGGGTAATGATCGAGTTTGCCCAACAATATTATCTGTTTAATTGTTTTTATTTCAAACCATTTTCTACACTATTTAACGAAAATCGTTGCACGATGCCCATACATTTTCCTAACTTAAATGCTATGCTTATCAATGAATGGTATCGAAAAATTATGATAACTTATCACACTTTACTTCTGCACAAATAGTACTCGCCTGGATAATGAAAAAAAAAATCGCAATCAGAAATTTTCCATTCAATTTAATTAAATCATTATATGGTTAGAAGGCATAAATCGATAATAATTTCAATAAATCAAAACTGAATTTGAAGACAGCTGCTGCCATTGTAAAAAGCTACAAGTGATAGCAATAATAACAAATAAATGTTATACACGTACATATACGATTGAAATTTCGATGAAATTACGTTGGGAATAAAAATGGAAATTTTGTTGTAAAATATTTTTGTTACGTAAGTGAAGCAATGTTTAAGGCTCTTCAAGATCGTGTTCGTAATCTTCATGGCCTTCTCCTTCTCCTTCGGTTTCCTCTTCTTCGACTATTTCTTCCACTCGTTCACCCATTATTATCTCCTCAGCCAATTGATACAGTTCGCGTATATCCTTTAAAGAAGAAAATTATTATGTTTATCTTTATATATCGTTATGTATATAGAAAGGTAAGGTTCTATTTTCTTTTGCTTACTCTAGCGTTCCTTAGCTGTAAAATTTTCTCATCTTCGTAACGTAAATGATCGTATTGTTCTTTAGAGATTAGCAAACCACTAGCAACATCATTTTCTAATTCCTCTTGCAGCATGAGAGCATAACGTTGTTTAGCCATACTGATCGTACTGCCTTCTTCAAATGATTCTCCGGAGGACATATCAGAAGCATCATCTGAAGCAAGATTTTTTCGATTGTTTTCATGATCCAAGTCATCCTCAGTCAAATCCAAGCCGAAACCGGGTATATGTTCCACGCTGATATCGTCTTTATCGTGTTTGCTTGGCTGCTTCTTAGCCTCTGCATCTGAAGGCTCCAGCTTAAAATTTATCAATATTAAATAACAATTTTGAAGGGAAAAAGAGCAACTTGTAAATAACATTCTGATTTTATATAAAAAAACTGTGTCCAAAAAAATCATGGCTTAATTGTTCAGGTGATAATTATACCGTACATATACCTTTTGGTACAAGGTATATTAAGGTTGTACGGATGCGTTTAACGCCCAGAAAGGCTTGATTCACGCTTTATTATACCGTAGCTCTGAATGGATATAAGCTTGTCAGTCCCTTTGTCAGTTCTGTTTTGTTATATCAAACCTACTGGCCGCAATTTTTGACATATTCTGATGAAATGTGGTACACTGACGTGTTTCGGCCCAAAGATGAGTGCTATTGAAAGTGACTCGAATCGGACGACTTTTTTGTCTACTTTCGCTATAACGTCGTCACGTCTTGGAGAGTCATTACATGAATATTTGGGAAGTGGTTTAGGGTATTTAATGTTGGGCCGTGTCCAACTATAGTAGTTTTACTTATTTTTGATAAACATCGTTAGTTAATTATGTATAATACCTTTCCGACAACTTCAGGCGCCATTATTTGCTTCAGGCCCGGGATAGCCTTGGTTTTAGCTTTCTTCCTGGAATATTTCGTGTAAATATTAACTTAAAAGTTATGCTAATAATTGCATACTTTTCTCTTAAAATAGTTTGCATATCTTTGGGATCCGATGTAAATGGTGTCGGTACACGTAATGAACGCTCTTTCATTTTAGCTCTTTCTTGTTCTAAGAAATTTTTAAGATTCGCCTCGCATGGACGCCAGTCTTCGTTGTCGATTCTGAAAAAAAAAAATAAATGTTTTCCATAATTCTATTAAATTATTTTAGGATTATTTACAATTATTTTCCTTCTACTTTATAGTCTTGTCTTGTTGTTGATATTAAATAAAATAAAAATTGCGGTGCAAAGCGATTTTATGTTGGTTGGTGCCGATCTCGAATATTTCCATTTTTCCACCGAACTTCATATGCTCGACCTTACGAAAAAGCGACAACTATCAAGTTAAGGTTTGTTGTTTTCATTCTTTAGCTAGAGCCAAACTTGACACATAGTGGACTTTATAATTGCAAGAAGAAGTAATGGGCTTCACCACAAAAACCTTAAGTTTATCAAAAAGTTAAAAATTAATGTCGGATGTGCCGAGCTCTTGGAAACGAAAAATAAGCATATGTAACTATATACTTATAGAAAATTAATGTGAAGCGATGCATTTTTCATCGTCTTATCCATCGGGACTGAGCTGAATAATTCACGTGTCGTCATCCGAGTTTCTCAGTGTTAAGCAAAGATACTTGAATCAGGTCACTTGAAAACCATAGATCAAAGTAATTCTTAAACCCACCTTCTTTGAAAGGGCCAACACTTTAACTAGATTGTTGGAGATGTCAAAACAGCTAACAAACAAACCGGATTTTAGCCAATTTACTTTTTTTTTAGCACGCAATACGGTGCTGACCAGGGAGGAGTGTGGAAAGATTTAGGCGGTATCCCCAGCTTAGTGGTGGTCGGTACGTGCTATGCTTTTGCGAACTGGGCATTCACTATAGCTAAGAGATCATATGTCAAATGCTTTGAGATTTGAACTCGGTTCACTATTACTGTGATCAGTACTTAACCGCGAAAATTATCTGCTACATTAAAAATGCCTGGCCCTGTTTTCGCTCTAGCTTACCATAAAGCATTTGCATAAACAGTCTATTTATATTAATTTGCGCACTTGTACATTTATGAGCAGGACGGTCATCTTTCAAGCGTAGTATTTTTTGTGCGTGACTATAGGAATCGCAAATCTTTTTACATATTTATTAGTTTCAATTGTCTGGACTAAGCTGATGCTGTTGCTTGGGAAAACTAGGCATACGTTAAATTATTGTTGAGAACAAACCCAAGTTCGTAAGTCGCGCATGTCCTTTATGCCTGCCGGCAGTGGGACTTTCAGAGCAAATTCGCAAATTAAAAACTTCAGCCCAACGGGAAGTCAAACAGAGAAAAATCCGGGAATTTTAAATTGTTTTTTTCCTTAACTTGAAAATCGTGGTGCATCTTACTTCGATTAGGACACTAACATAGACGTTAAGATCTGGTATAAAAACAGACTAACGCTGTTATTAACGGATCACTCAATAAGTTGGTAGGATTGTCGGAATGTCACAAAATTTTGATATATTTCGATTAAAAGTGGAGACTATCTAAAAATCACATGGATTCGTCAATAGTAAGGACTTCTATATCATATGTCATCTTACAATCATAATGAGCGAAGTGTTAATTAATAAGAAAATTAGCGACAGAGTCGTCAATCCAAACTTTTTTTCATTATTAAATGTAATTAAAATAGAAATGCTAACCAGGCGTATATCGTCTGGCTTTTTGTTTAAGGTGGGCGAAAGGTTTTCCTTTCACCTATACATAAAAAAATTTTTCTAAAATTTACTGCTTGCTTGCAGGAGAGAAATGTATGCAAATCTTTTAACTACGCGTTTATAATTAACAACAAATTGATTTTTCTTAGTTAGAAAACAAACAAACGGCTTTTATAAAAGCATGAAAATATTATTCATTTTTCTTAGCTGAAAAGCAAATGACTTTTATGAAGTAATTAAAATTATTAATTATCATTAGAAATGTCATATTTCAGTTATTGGATAACGAATACGAAGAATCGAATATGGAATTGAATAGAAATACAAAATCCTTCGAGCCTTTAAAGCACGTTAAATTATTGCTGTTATTAATAAAGTTCTGCGAGAGTACAACGTGCTACAAGCTAATGAATGGATGATACAGTTGTGACAAAATCTACTTGAAAATGGACGGATCCGTGCCGAAAGATACATAGGAAATGTGCAAAACCAAAAATCAGCCAAGCACTGCCAAAAACTTGAAAATGTCAGAAGACCACATAACTAATAAATGGTCTCTTCAAGGCTTACAATGATGTTGATCTTGCTTCATTAAGAAAGCAAATTATATACCAGTTTAATGATTTAATTCTTTCAAGTATTGTAGCTAGAAATTTCCATAAGATTATTGCTTTGAATGTTTGTTTCTTTATTTCTTCAGTTTTTATACCCATCACCAAAGGATTTTATTAAAACTTTTGCTGCGCCTAGAAGGAAGCTTTGGAGACGCAACAAAGTATATATATTGTTACGAAAATCCTAAATCCAGTTAATTTCAGCTAAGTGATTTTCCCTAATAATAAATTCCCTAAAGAAGGAAAAACGAAATGAGCATTCGCCGGCGCCTCATGCAGCTGCAGGCCGATGAAAACGATTAGAGGAAAAGCAGGCTAGGATTAGAAATAAAACCATAAATTTAGGTATAGTAATATGCTTGCAAAAATGTACATAAATAGAATATTTGTGGAAGGCAGAGTTAGTCGGGCAAAAACATAAAAGTTGAGAGTACGACCAAAATGAATTGTAAATATTTGATCCTATTGTTAAGGAATATAATTCTAAATAAAAGAACTTTGAAGAAGAACCGATTGCATCTTGTAAAAAGCGAATTTCATAACAATATCTTTATCAGCACCAAATTCTGAAACGAGTTGAGCATATATCCACCTGTCCGTCTGTGTAACGTCTGTTGCAAACATTCTCCTGACCGCATCGACTTCAAGTGGCAGCAACAATGTTGTAGCAATGGCAATAGCTTTATAACGCGCGAATACAAGCTTCAAAAACTCCGTAAAGTATATTAACTGTCGATAAGTTTCAAATTTACAATGCACCTAAGCATGCCCGTCTTTGAATTGTTCCTCTGTCCACTCGCCTACTATAATGCCTGTGCCATAAAAACTTTTATTTTGACAATAGAAAAAATCAGCCGCGTCCACACGCTTTGTTATAGAGCATGAAAATTTGATTTTACTACCTTTCTTTTCTAAAATAACAGTGATGGGTATAAAAGTTTCGGTCACGACCGAATATAATTTTCTTAATTGCTTCAATTTTCTTTTAATAAGCTAGAGGTTGCAATTCTCTGCTAGTTGTTCACCTGAAGCACATAGCCGCACAGTTATACCTATCGCACATAAATACTAAATGTGGACACAGAAGGCTTACATTTCATTGGATCTGCCCAAACAAACTCAATGTGCAAAAAGTAATTCATTATAAATATTGTATACATCCGTTACTATCGAAAGGTAGAGTTGTGTTCGACTTTTCCTTCCCTTCTTACTATCCAGACACAAATATTATGGATCCATTAAGCTTGATCCCCGTAAGTTTTTCAAGAAATCGATTTTTTTTTGCTTTGAACCTTCGTCTAAATACTTGGAAAAAATTTCAGTACCCGCAAAAAGTCTTTACCCTGAAATTTCGGTACTTTCCACACTCCAAAAAGAGTGTCTGTTTCAAATAAATCTCTGATGGGAAATTATACTTTCACGTCGTATGTACTGATTGTTAGTGCGTTTCATGGAGTAACAAGTGTCTTCAAACATCCTTTATATTGTTTTAAAAGATATTCCGAACAAAAGTTCTTCGAATTTCAGTGCTTGTGTGAAAAGGACATAACCTTTGGACTTAGCGACCGACATTACGGTGTGCAATTTTAGTGACTAGAATTCTAAAAATCGTTTTTGAAATGGACATTGGTAATCAATCATACAACTTTGGATTGAAGAAGAGCGGCCTTTGACAGGTGCTGCAAAAAAAAAACTTGGAGAAAAAATGGGAAGGGCAGGAATATCTAAACCAGGAAGATGGATTGTTTTATGATCTCAGAATTGCAGACTAATAGAAGAATATAATAAAAAATGTACTGCGATCAAAAAACATGTGTGTAGCATATGTCAAAACTTTACACGCGTTTAACTCGGATCGCAGAATTCTTAAAGTCGACAAACAGCATAATGTATCTTTTTTTCAATTTTTCTTTAAAACAACATTTTATAGTGAAACACATAGGCTTGCTTCGATAAGTTTTTCACTCAAACACTCTCTAATTACGCAAAAAACAATATTCCCTAGAACACCTACGTGTTTCACTAGATAATTTTTTATAATTCAAATTTGCCCCAGTTATGATGCTTGCCGCAGAGCCCCTTGAAACCCTTCTCTGCTGCTTTTCATTTCACCAAAAAAAAAAAAAAATGTCCCAAGAAACTTTTTTTAGATTGTTCCGGCGATTTATTTCCTTAAGCATGTATGTTGCTTACCGGCCTAAGGCTGCATCTCAATCTAGGCATGCTTCTGTTTTCATCCACCTATAAAATTTTCAAGACTGCAATAAAGAACCCGTAGCAGATGATAATCCTAATTTCTGCATAGCGTAAATCTGTATGAAAGTTATATGTGAAAGTGTTGTTGATTAGACTATTGATCTATTCGCCTAAATATCAACAAAGTGCCTTGCAAATTTTTTGTATTGAGTTGAGAGGTTCAGTTTAGAGGATAGCTTCCGTAATTGTTTACAAATAGATTTTGAACATACATTTCGCTTACGCAGGTAGTCATATACAATTACATTTCTCATTACCGTACAGTCATTAACACATTAAGCAAATCAGATTATGTTTGGTAGCTTTTCATCGGAAACACAGTTTTCGTAGAAATACTTTATCAATTTTCATTAATTTTGACTATAAATAAAACTTTCAATGTACAATGATTAGTAAGGTTTTACGGTTTTGGCTTTCCTTATTAAATTAAATAATTCTCGTGAAAGATGAGTTTAGTGGCACAATCACACAAACTACACATCGCGGCGCACTCATGTACAGCCGTGTATCCTCTCACTCTGTTTGCAAATACTTACTCCAGCATAACAGAATTTTTATATTTTATTTCTATATATATATACATATATATATATATATATATATATGAGGAAGCAGAAATTAGAAGCATGAATTGCTGCTTTCTGTGACGATTAAACTACAAAGAAAGCAAAAAGTTTACTGTTCTTATTCTTCTTCAAAAAAAACTATTTCCATAGGAAGGATGGTGTTAGGCGATTTATGTTGATGTCGCAGAGGAAGTTTGTCGGAAAACAAAATTGACAATAATAATAGAAATGGCATAAAAAAGTAGGAATTATATAATATTTTAAAAAAACTAATGAACCGTTGAATGTCAGTTTTAATAAATTATGGATCGTATTACGATCGTAAGGAAATTTTATTTCAAAGGAGCAGGAAAAATCATACAAAAAAAAAAACACTCACCTTAACAAATTCATACCCGCCACGGCGTCTTCCTGTTTGAATTTCTCTTCTAAAGCCTCTTGCTCCTTATAGCGTTCACGCATTATATCTATGTGCGCTCTCTCCTCCTCTTCATGCTGCAAACGTTCGCGCTCCCACTTAACACCTTGTAATTTCAAGCGTTCCGAATTCTTCTCTCGATTAGTCTTTAACTATTTCAAGTAAAAATTGGAAAATTTGTAATTTTTATTTTTCTTTTCAAATTAAAAGAGAAAACACAATACAGTAAACAAATCAACAAACCTTAGCTCTGGCTTTTTTGATTTCAACACTCGCTTTCTTATTGACTACAAATATAGGGTCTTCGGACAGTTCAATCGGAATGGTATCTGTTTGACCTTCAATAATTAAAATACGTTCACGTTCAAGCTCTTTAAGCTACCGCAAAGGCGGAAAGGAGAAAAAATTTTCTATAAAAAAATATCAATTTATTTATTATTTACTTGATTCACTTACTTCTCTTGCACATATACGTTTATTTAATTGTTGACGATAATCATCTTCGATACGTTCGCGTAATTCTTTCATATAATTGCGATCAGTGAGCCGTACAACGTTTGTGCCCATCAAACGTTCCAAAGCAGCGCTAATACGAGGCAAATTGAAACTAAGGAAGAAACAAGAAAAAACAAGAGTTTTTATATTAACTTTCAGTTCTCTTCAGTTCGCTCATTTTTCATATCGCCTTTAAACTGTTTTGACATAAATGCCAAAATCATGTAGCTATGAACTTTGTCAATCCAAATGGCAAATTCACATGTCACCATCATTTTTTTTTTCTTTTTACATGCACTGCGTCAGTCAGTCAGTTCAATTTGTTGTTTGCAAGAATGTAATGAATTTGCAATAAATATCTTAAATTCAATGCTAAATGTTCAATGTTCTTCAGTTTGTGCCTCGAGGAAATACAGTTTTTAGGTTATTTTAAATTTAAATAGAAGGCGGATGCCAATAATTCCTAGTTAAGGATTTTTCGTGTATGGCATGAAATACAAAAAAAAAAAAAAAAAAAAACATTCACATCTTTCGTAGAGATTACGCGTATGGCAATTAGGAGAAAAACGAGTTAGGGAGCGCTAGACGATTCGGCCAGAGCCATTGAATTATTACTCGAAGACGTACGGACACCCACACAAGAACACTTTGCGGTTTAACATTTTTTTCAAAGCTTTTTGCATGCATTGTGTTTGAAGGCTCACGTGCCGAGAATTTTTGCAATTTTACAATTTGTATGAGAAAAAGTTCGTATTTCAATTATAGCTTCTCACAACAGTTCACTAGCTCGCTAGCTCGCTATTACTAACAGTATTGTTTTTTTTTTTGTTCATATAATAAAGCGATAGATATACTATTTTTATTCTACTGCATATGATACGTAGTTGTACCGACTTGGTCAATGCAAATCTTAAACAGTACTGTACTCCACGACATTCACTTTTTTCTTCTTTCCAAGTATTTGTCCTGTTCTTGTTTACTAATCGGTTTGATCTGTCTTGCCTATGGCCGACTGTTGCTCCATCAGTCTATCCGTTAGACCCTTTTTCTGTTGGCTTCCGTGATGTCCCTTCGCAGAACCGCTTCTTTTCTGATTTGCCCTGCTCGTCGTCTGCCAAGGAAGTAATTTATTTAACTTTAGATATTTACATATAAAAAAATTCTCTGCCCGGCATGTCCACCCGTCCGTCTTTGTGTCTTATCCACCCACTTGTCTTTCTGTCCGCTCGCTTTTTTCACCTGCCGCCTAATTTTGTTTTGTCCGGCTATGTTCTGCATGTCTTTGGCTTATACCACTGCATGTCTTGTAGCTTATGAGTGTGTATGCCTGTAAATTTGCACACTGTCTAGCGTTTGCTGGTCTGTTCGTCCATGCAAATGTAATTTAGGCCGATTCTTCGTTTGCTCACATGTTTGCCTGTCCGCTTGTTCGCACATGTGCTCACCTGTACGTTTACTTGCCTGCATGCTCGACAACTAGCCCATATCGTCTGCCTCGATTCACTTCTTCATCCTTTTCGCCTATCTAGGCGGCTCGAGTGTCTACCTACATACCGAACTTGTTCTTCCATGTTCATCATTGCCTATCTTTTTCCGACTTTTTACATATATACGCAGATAATTGTCAAACTTGCTTTACGTGTCTTCGAATTTCGAAATCTATCTTTAAATCAGTTCACATATTCAAAAACTACCAACTCAATGGATTTAGCCACTGCTCAAGTCAACTCTATTTTAACATATATTCATTGTAGCTTTACTCATTTACAGTTCTGAACGTTACCCGTAGTGTACTGAAAGCGTTTCACATCCTCTAGTGCAGGTTAGTGCGGGCTCGTTAATGACTTTGTAATAGGGAATGGAAATTTAATTTTTTTTTATTTCATTTACTTACATGAAACTCAACTAAGGTAAATTAACAGTTGAATTCAATCGGCTGTAAATCTTATATTAATTAATATTAAGAATTATTATCCTTATATAGTATATGAGGATAAGTAAGAAATAAAAATAAAAAAATATTAATAATTATAACGCTACGGTGCGCAACAGCAATTAATTTTTGAATCATAATGAGATTTTAAGATTAAAAGTTAGTTTAAATACGCCATAGGCATATCGCGCGTAATGAGCATTGTACTTTTGATACTTTAAAGAGCCTGATATTGAAATTAAGCGATAGACATGGTTTAGGTTTCTGCAAAGATCTCTGAACGGATTAAACAGCCGTAAGAGAAAACTCATTTCACCAAGTAATGCGCATCCATAGTAACATTAATTAACTTAATTAGGAATGAGACGCCAAGAATAAATTTGCATTTGTCAAGTGATGGTAAAGATATTAAAAGCAACCTATTTTCATGAGGAGGCAAAGAGATAAGCGGGTCCGAATCTTAATTCCTAAGCTCAAACAGCAAGAATTGCTTTTGAACTGATTCAATTGAATCTACATAACATAGGAGGAAGATTACATAACCGAGGAATACTCAAGCGGGACGACAGATGTCACGGGAAATTCGTCTGAGGTAATTAAGTTAACCAGAACCCTGAATGATCTATTGTGCAGTTGCGAGCTTACACATTTCACTAGGTAGCAAGGAAAGCCAGAGGCCTGGAGTTTGAAGATCAATAAGTTATGGTATATACGACAGTGTATACGACAAGTGTATATGGCAAGTAAACTCTAAAAGATTAGTGATAATAGATCTTCCTTTTCGAAGGCCATGCTGCAATGGAGAAATATAAGATTTGATAGCATAAGCTAAATGCAAGTCGTTTAAACAATTTAGGTAAAACAATCAGCTTCTCTCTAGTTCTCCATGTGATGTCTATTTCCAACGGGAAGACACCTGACTTCAAGGACTGATTAAGACTCATTGAAATAACACCATATAGCTCGAGAGAGCATGTTTTAAGTATACATGATGGAATCCTATCGCATCCAGGCGCGGAACTATATTTTAAACCATCTAAAACACCATTTTCTGAAATGACCTGAAGTTAATCAAATCAAAATCGAGCTAGATATCGGATACGGATGGTTGACAGTTGAATCGGAATTAACAGTAGACAAATTTCGTTCGGTCTATTCAGCAAAAAAGTTTCAATATCATTAGAGCACTCCAAGCCATTGAACGAAACGTCCGAGGGATATATGGAGATTTTTCTTTTGGAGTTGACTTACTTAAACTTAAAAAAATAACTAGGATTAACAAGCAGTGAAGATTTTATCAACCGAAAGTATCCGCAATAATATTGGCGGTTCAGATAATTAAATCTATGCGATGAGGCAGAGTAGACAAAATAGTCGTAAGCAGAACCACTTTTCATAAATTTTTCGAATGGTTTTTTTCCCTATATTTGTCTTGTTAAACCACGGCGGGCACTTGCTTTGAGGGCGACGTTGCGTGATCGAAACGGATGCAGAAATAACCAGGTTTAATGCATTACAGAACGAAGAGAGTAAGGTTTTAATATTTCCAGCAGAGAAATTAAACATAATATGTGAAACGTGAGATTTAAGCAGTAAAATATTTTGTTAAAATCATAATATATATTGGAGGAAGTTGAATTAGGCACGTTAGAGTAGATCAACGGACAATCATGCTTGTAATAAAAGGATATACAAATTGATGGATGATACGGATCCTCAGGCAAACAAAAAAGTTGGACAGCTATTGACAACTATCTCCGGAAAGTTGGCAAAGCAAAGATTCAGCAAGTTGCCACTACAATTAGGAGTACGGTTGTATTGCAGTAAATTCATTGAAAAACCCAATAGATCTACCAGATGTTGAAGTGTGGACCGTACAGCCAGAATTATCACTATAACGCCAAGTGACTTGTGGCAAATTGAAAACCTGGAAGTAATTGTGGAAAAATTCCGACGAACGTAAATTAGGTTTTAACCAAGTTTCAGTGAATGCCAATCAAGAAAACTCCGTGCTCAGTAAATTTAGGAAAGTAGAGCGAATTTTTGAATTTAGGCTCGTAACATTTCGGTAAATGAAATTTATTAGATCTGCAGAAACATTCTTTTTTAAGGGTGGAGGAGCAATCGAATTAGTATTACGGAGCCGATTCCTTGGAATGAAGTTAGGGATCCCACTGGCCACAATAGTTTGATTAACAAAATTTCCATATATTCAGTCTGGACTAATACTTTAAAAGACGGGATAGATGTAGGTTGAGATGGAGCCAATTTGCAAATACTTACACGCTTCGAATTCACGGATGGGACTTTTGCAGCCAGCTAACATTTTACGTTATCCACAAAGGTGTCACGCGTTAGTCTTGACAAGAATATTGACTTTCTGGGGGGTACTGTCGACAAGCAGACGTCGTTCCTATTAGAAGCAAGAGGATTTGCAGGTCGAGTTTCGAGTTGGCGAGAATATGGAGAAGGTGACCACGCTTGCACGTGCAGCTTTAGCCACTTGCACAGCATTGTGACCAGCAGACAGTACCGAACAACTAGGGGGAGAGGCGGATTTGTTATTTTTATTAATATATTTTGGGGGAGTACGCAGAGCAGTCTGAATGGTCTCACTGGAAAGAGATGCCATTGCCAATTATGCACAGCTAGAGCGAGGGTGCGTCCCAATTTATTTGGAACTTTTTTATAAGTGGCCAATTCGACGATACCGGAAACGCTAACATTTTTTGTAGTCAAGGATGGAGCACTCACATGAGTCCACGAATCAGATTTAAACGAAGGTGGAGGTGAAGTATCACAGGCTACACTACGTGTCGGTCTTGTAAAGGCTGGGGGATAAGGTGTGTGCTCTAGATAACGACGTTTATTGGACATTCGCTTCTTCTTCCAACACAAAGTAACGAGATTTTTGCCTTGTTCAGAGAACCCAATGTTTGTCTTCGTGAACAACTTATAAGGTGAACATTCCGCTTCCTATGGTCGCTTCATGACCAACGTAAACCCTTCGAATGATCAAGGACTGCATCTGCAGCACGGCCATTGATACCAAAATACCTATAAAATTCATGCAATTTGAACAATTTTTATACTTCATAATTAAGTTATACTTTAAGCGCGTATAAAGCTATAAAGCATTATGTTAAGAAAGAGGAATTGCAAAATTTCTTCGCACAAAG